AAAATTCCATGCATGCATATTAAATTTAATAATTAATTAATTTTTTCATTTTTACTATAAATATTTTATTTTATCTCGTTTTAAATTTACAAATCTCATTTAACTAAAATTTTGTGAGTGCTAAATCTGACTCGCATACAATTAAATCCAATTTTTTTTAAGTATAATTAATTGATAATTAATCTCAATTTTTTTAAGACCATATAATACACGTATATGTGTAGGTACAGACCCACTTTAATTCTGGTGTATTAATATGATTCCATTGTATTTTCCAATATATAATTTTGTTGGGTTTGTGGGTTTCTTAATTGGACTACTACGGGTCAATTACGAATCAATTGACCCGCAATCATGTTCCACTAAATTGAGGCAACACTACAATTAATTTCACGTCAATTCCCCACTTGTCTAATGACACAATTTATCTACGCCCACTAGCTAATTACTTAGAAATTCAAATTATCAACATATATATATACATATAAGATGTTCATTATGCATATGTATACATGGGTATATGTGTATACATACACATATATATATATATAGCCTGCCTTTGATGATATCAATCTCTCTTTTTTTTTTTCAAAAAAAGGAAAAGTACACATGAACATGAGATTCAAAGCTTCTTCGTAAAGATTCCATCATTATGTTCTTAATTTCTATTTTTAAAAAGATTCAAGAAGAAATTTATAAATGATCGTGTTTCTAAAAAGAAAAAAAGATAATAAGTTGGTAAAATCATCATCACTTTGTTCAATATTCTTTGATTCAAAAACAAAAAACTTTAAATATATATATATATATATATAATTACTTATACATATACATATATATATATATATATATAACGAACATGAAAGTGTTTTTAAAATTATTTGAAAGAACTTTAAGATAGCAAAGTGTTTATTTTTTATCATAGTAATAGGCTGTTATATTTCATAAAAAAAATAATAATAGTAAAACAAATATTATATTATTTGAGAACATTAAGAGAATAATTAAATAATTTAGTTAGACAAAAAAAATTTGGAGTTAGAAATATAATGTTTATCTTTTACAATCTTATAACCATTTTTAAAAATTTAATAAACATTAACTTTCGTATTACAAGATATAAAATTTAAAATAAATATTGAAAACTCTTTATATATAATAAACGAACCATTGTAACATCTAATGGGACTATTGGTATATCACATATATATGTATATATATATATATGTATATAGTGGCATTGAAGAAAAATGAATTGCCGACAAAAGGAAACTTCTCAGTAAATGGTGTGTATGAGATGACAATAATATTCTCCTCCCTATGACACATTATATATATGTTTATATATTTGTATGTGTGTATATATATATATATATATATTTATGTCTATGTATGATGAAATTGGGAACATGGCATGTTTAATTTTTCAAATTACGGAATTATTTATTCTAATTGTACATGGGCCTTTCTTTGTAGGCTAGACACACGTATAGCATATAGAATACGTATAATATATATATATATATATATGTGTGTGTGTGTGTGTGTGCAAAGATATTTAATTTTTATTAAATAACTTGCAGAATGTTCATTGAATCGTGCAAGAGGCTGAGAATTATGAAAAGATCAGATGCGAAGGGTTTTACTCTGGAGCCTAGAGGAGAAACAAGTGACTACTAAAATCACTTCACGTGGGATAGTTTTTATAACACAATTTCCATATATATATATATATATGATTGATATTCCCTTATATAGACATTTAATTTTACAATTTTTAATCAAATTTATATTGTTGTCTATTTATTTGATTATGAA